TACTGAATTGACTGCATGTGTGCACATGTGTATGGTGTGAGGACAGCATGTCCTATTTACTGTGTCTGGTACATATTGTTGAGATGCCACATATTTAGAGATGACAGGTCTACAACCGGTCCGCTCAACAACATGTTGCATTGTGGAGTCTTCCTGTCCCGTGTTCCAGCCAACCATGAGACAGGAGGGATAGCTTGGTTGGTAGAGCATGAGACTATTAATCTCAACATCGTGAGTTTGAGGCCCACATTGGCCAAAAGATTCCTGCATTGCAGAGGGTTGGACAAGATGACCCTCCTGGTTGCTTCCAACACTGATTCTATGCCCTACTCTAGGGCATGCCATTATGTCCCCCGCACCCTGAGCTGGTTTCTGAGACGTGCTTTGGCTATATAGCCACCATAAGTCAGCATCTGAATAGATTTAATATAATAAAATTCTAACAGCCATTACACATGCAGAGACAACAGCTTCAGGGGCTGGGCTGCAGTCCTAGGGAACCAAATGAGTTGATGTGCATCAGGTCATGCGCCCACCCCTCTTTCTGATTCCCAAATGCTACACTTCATTTTAAGCATTTTAATACAGTGGTACCTCGGGTTACATACGCTTCAGGTTACATATGCTTCAGGTTACAGACTCCGCTAACCCAGAAATATTACCTCAGGTTAAGAACTTTGCTTCAGGATGAGAACAGAAATCGTGTTCCAGCGGCGCAGCAGCAGCAGGAGGCCCCATTAGCTAAAGTGGTGCTTCAGGTTAAGTACGGAGCTCCGGAATTAATTAAGTACTTAACCTGAGGTGCCACTGTATGTGGGGACGCGGGTGGCGCTGTGGGTAAAACCTCAGCGCCTAGGACTTGCCGATCGCATGGTCGGCGGTTCGATTCCCCGCGGCGGGGTGCGCTGCCGTCGTTCGGTCCCAGCGCCTGCCAACCTAGCAGTTCGAAAGCACCCCCGGGTGCAAGTAGATAAATAGGGACCGCTTACCAGCGGGAAGGTAAACGGCGTTCCATGTGCTGCGCTGGCTCGCCAGATTCAGCTTGTCACGCTGGCCACGTGACCCGGAAGTGTCTTCGGACAGCGCTGGCTCCCGGCCTATAGAGTGAGATGAGCGTACAACCCTAGAGTCTGGCAAGACTGGCCCGTACGGGCAGTGGTACCTTTACCTTTTTACCACTGTATGTAGCCTTGCATTCCTTTGCTGTCCCTTATTTAGACTCTTCCATTTGCTAGATCCAACTGCTTTGTGTCGCACCCCGTAGATGTGCGGCGAGGGAGCCTTGTTCTGCTGAGTCACTTCCACTGCGACTGCCAGGCAGAGAAGAAGGCTTGATGCGTACTTCGCCCATAATGCTGATAACAAGCAACCACTTTTATTGCTAAAAATTTTATGGCCATGATCGCTAAGCTGGTTTCCCTGTACGTGTGTCTTAAAGATGTCAGCGCAGAGGCAGATGAAAAATGGCTGAATATGCAAAGCCTTTGCACTTCTCAGAGGTGGTGCTTAGATATCTTTTGAGCTCCTCTCACACATTATTTATGTGAGCGTGTGATCCACCTTGTAGGAGAATGTAAAACAGAAGAGAAGCGCTTGTAACCCAATTGTACATTTTGACCAGTGTAAGTTTCAGGTCAGCCAATTCTGACATTGTGAAAACTCCTGTCCCTTGGGTATTATTCTCCTAGTTCTGAAGTTGCATCTTTAAGGGTGGCTTTTCTTTTCAAGTATAGAAACATTTAGGTATAGATACATTTCCCCATGAAATGGAGAAACTTTATTGCATTAGGCTGCTAGTGGCTGAAGCCTTCTTTTTAATATATTATTGCAACTTACTATATTACACTTAATATTAGTACTGTGCTGAAATCCCAGCCCCAACCAGTGCCGGATTTACGTATAAGCTAAACAAGCTATGGTTTAGGGCCCCACTTTCTTGCCCCCCCCCAAAAAAAACCAAACCACCTGGATGTACATTTTCAAAATATAAGATAAAAAACAAATAAAATAAAACCTACATACAACAACAGTGTTTTGTGTTGTGTATGGATCCATAAATTACCATATAGCATATATTCGACACAAAAAAAGTGACAATTTATTGTTGACAAAGAACAGCTGGACATATAAATGGCCCCATTACCTTCAGTAGCTTAGGGCCTCATCAAACCTAAATCCAGCCCTGGCCCCAACTATTCTCCATTAATTAAGAAGAAAAGACATGACTATTCTTGTTGTTTGCAACTAATTGTCCATTTCAGTGTATTATTAGAAAATATTTAGACATTTTTTTATCCTGCTTTTCTCGAAGAAGCCCAAATGGCTTACAATGAATAATGCACCACACCGCAAGTAAAGCATTCATTTGATTAAAAAAGAAAGTAGAAGAAATGCTTTGAAATCCCTCACTCAGTGAATCTTCCTAGTGCATCATTTTTCCTCGTGAAGCGCTGCTGCCAGCTTTATTAGCTGCTGTTTCAGTGTCTCCAGAGATTCAAATTCCAGCCTTGATAATTTGATCTGAATATCTTGTGTTTTATTGGAAATCACAAACACCACAAGAAACTTCATTGTTTTCAGGATGTGGTTTGGGGGGGTGGGGCAAGGCAGTAAATGAATGAAATGCAAGCTTTGTTATAATAAAGGACTCTGCTTGCTCTTTTAGCCATTGCAGTTTCTTTCCTCATGAAAGTTATTGGGGGGGGGGTACTTGAAAGGTCTCTTCCTTGATTGTTTCCCACTCTTCAGCCTGCCTCTTTCCCTTTGGCTCTATTCATCATCATTCTACTCTTTGACAGTTCCAACACTTCCTTTGTTGAAGGGTCAAGTGACTTCCCAGTTTAGGCTACAACCCTAACCCCATTTACCTGGGCGTAAGTCCCATTGATTTCATCTCTGAGTAGATATGGTTACGACTGCGCTACAGATTCTTAAAATTTATGCAGAAAAGTGGCTTGCCTCTTTGCCCTGGAGTCAAAATGCTTTAACATTCTCCGACATTCCTTTGATTACCGTACGTAGGGCTGAAACTAAGAAACTGGCCCAAAATGCACCAGCCAGATTTCTGCCTGCATTCCCTTTAGAGACCATACTGTTTTAAAACAGCTGAATTGGTTGCCAGTTCATTTCCGGGCCCAATTCAAGGTGCTCACATTAGTAGTTAAAGGCTTAAACAGCCCAGGCTCCAAATATCTAAAAGATTCCTTCCTTACAGACCCTCTCAGTTGTTAAAACTATCAGAGGGGATCCTATTGCCTGTTCCCCTGCCCGCCCCCCCAGAAGAAAAATGTATTGTAGGTGGTTTCACTGAATTATTAAGATTAAACCTTTCAAGGTTTTGGCCCTCTCGTTAGGGCTGACTCCAGAAAAGGCGGCTCAGGACTAAACTGAGAGTTTAAAAGAACACAGGATCCGAAGAGAGGTTATTCTGACATTGCAACTTAAGTCATGACAAGCACATCCAAGAAACTGGCACAAAAGACTGTAATTCAAACACCAATAAATATGATTCTGAAACAGATCATATCTCTGCACTGTAAAAGAAGCCAGATCTTAAAAACCAGCCAAGTTAAAGTAATACTCTATAAAATTCACTCACTGTAAGAATATAGTATAAAAAGAAAAAATAGCTTCGCCTCCAAGCAAAGTGTTTAACCCTTCTTAATTTAACTTTTATCTATGCATTCTCCGCCCCTTCAAAATGGATAGATAGCCCATAACCATTTCGGCATACGCTTATCCATTTATGACATCCTGACATCTGATCTCTTTGAAGCTGGGTTTCCTAACAATGCAAGAGCATAACAGGACAAGGCTATGGGTCAACACAGCCCTCCTTACGGAGCAGCTACTGACTGCTTCCATTCTTGCTTGCTAGAGTACACAGAGAGGGTATGTCCCAGTCCGCTCTGGATTGAAGAAGCTGGATGCCTGCAGATTGCGGTATCATCAATGGACAAGCTGTCAAGAGCTCGTCCTACATTCGAGTAGGACCTGCAGTGTCTGATGTTAGACAGAGTGTGTGTTCAGCAGGAATTTCATCTGCGACACACTGGGACATTCCAAGATGGCGACGGGCTATCTAGGATGCCAGAGAAGTTCGGAGGGCTGGACTTTGCTGTCTCCGATGCCCACATGCAGTGGGAGGCAATGGCTCAGCAGACTGCCAGAAATCACGCCCTAGGGGAAAGCTGATAAAGTATTCCAGGTGATCGTGCAGAGCTCTGGAGGCGTCATGGATGAGAAACGGGCTATCTAGGACCGTCATGTGAAAGACAACAATCCCATGACTGCAATCACGGAGCAGGAATTCTAACACAAACAAGCCTTAAAAACTGCTTGGGACATCTGTATTATTGGGAGCACAAATGAAGGAGTGTGCTGTCTGTGAGGTGCACCCCACGGTATGCTTTGCAGTGTCTCTGGGGTACAATTGTTAGTGGATCATGCAGAGCAGCTGTTTTTGGGTGGTGTGGTGTCTTCAGGTGAGAGCTGCCTGCAGAGGCCGCACAAGGAAGTATATATGAGAGAGATATGTGGCTGTAGGAAGATTCCCATCTTTCTGCTCGGAGCAAACTTTATGAAACTGGCATGGAGAAAGCAGATTGAGAAATGTTTTTCTCCCTTTCTCATAATGGACGTCCAGTGAAGTGGGAATATTCAGGATTTGGGTGGCTTTGAAAGAAGGTTAGACAGAGGATAAAGCTATCTATGGCTGTGAAACATGATGGCTATGTTTTACCACCATAGTTGGAGGCAATAATTCTTCTGAATCCCAGAGGAGGATAGAAGATGGCTCTTGTGCTTGTGTCCTGCTTGAAGTTTTCCACAGCCATCTGGGTGACCCCTGAGAGAATAGGATGCTTGGCTAGAGGGGCTATTGACTCTTCTTGCGTTCACAGATTCGATTTCTGGATGAAGGTTGGTGAAGTAGCAGGAAGTTCTGAAAGAGTGGTGCAAAGAACTAGTTATAACTACAATGTTTCTTTATGTCCACACAGGGCTTTTGGGAAGAGCACAGGAAACTGATAAATGAATATGGACCTGCTTGTGGGTAAGGAGCTCTTGATTTCATTTGCATTTGCTGTTGTTGTTTTGCCATTTCCCAGCACATTCCTACCCAAGTCTATTCAGAGGTTAAGTCCTATTGAATTCCATGGGGTTTGCTTCCAGATAAGTAGGGCTAGGATTGCAACCTTTGAGTTGGTTTAGCTGTCAATTCTGGCATGTTCTAAGCTTTTTCAGCAAGATAGAATAACATAGGAACCAGGGATTATTGCCAAATGTTGCCCCAAAATAAGTGGATCTTCCCAGCCCTGGTTCAACACTTGGACCACTACAACAACTCCGTCTCTAGACTTGACCTTCTGGGCATTCATTCTTCTTTTACTTTAAAAAAAAAAAAGCACTGTAGGAATGTCTTTCTGTTTGTCCACCTAGTTGTTATCATTTTAAAAATGATGTTTTTTACTAGCTCTTAGTACCTGTGTTTCATACTCACATTTCAAAGGTGATGTGGGTTGTGTGACATTTTTTATAAAACTGACTGACATTTTGTTTGGTTTTCTGATGTCCTCTATTGCGTGGACAGGCGGAGTCCCCCCCAACCCCAGGCGACCCCCGAGCGGAATAATGACTCAAGACAACATGCTATGGGATTAAAATTGGCCACAACTTTATTAAGTTTCAGATGCAGGGAGACCTTGGCTCAGGCATTGGGCGTGTATCCTTCCTATTCCCCAGCCGGGGATCTGGGAGACTTCAGGGTTATCCAGAATGTGTGGGGATTGGGCTGGCTCTGCAGAACATACGTTCAAGCAGAGAGCCCGCTCCCCCGTTTCGCCACCATTGGAGGGGAGAGCAATGACAACCTCTCGGCGTATGGCCAATGCCTCCCCTCAAGACCCCTTTAACGGGGAACCCTGGTATCACTGCCACAAGGGGGAGCGTGGGCAAGATTCACCTTTTGTTGTGTGGGCAGGACGGTCCTTTCCCTTACCTGGCCAATCCCCTGGCAACGCCTCCCCAGGCGGGATTGGGCAATTGGCTGAGGTAGGCAGAGACCTCCAGGTATCCAGCCTAGGGAGGATGAAGCCAGCCCAAACTACCAGGAGTCGCACTGGGATCCGGGGGGCTGTGCGTGACCATGCAAAAGGCGCCCCCATTTGATGTGGGAGCAGTCATTCTGGGTTAGGGAGGGTATGCATAGGAAGGGGCTGGCTGGCTGGCTGAAGAACCCTGTGTGAGAAGCAGTGAAGGGAAGATTCCCCTGGTTGGGAGGCTGGGAGAAGAAAGGGAAGCTCCCAGGTGAGAGCTGGGAGGGTCTATCCCCTTTTGTGTGAGATCTACCACTGATAGAGGGCATTGCATTTTTCTTTCTTCCCTCTTCTTTCTCTTTTTTGTTTTCTATATTATTTTTATTTATATTAGTTTTTTATTGTATGTTGAAAAGTTTCAGTAATAATGATAATATTTTTTTAAAAAGAGCAGCCACAGGGTGAGGATGGGGAAAGTGGACTGCAGGGCAAGTCAGTGATCAAGGATTGAAATTTGCATTTTTTGCTCTGATTCTCATGGCCATTGAATCTGCATGTGGCTTTCGGAAAATCCCAGCATATTTTAATTTTGAAGATAATATTTCAATTCCGAATAACTTTTCAATTTTGAGGGTGCTCGATGAGCTTGTGGATGCTAGTGCTAGGTGCAGCTTTTTAAGACAGTTTTTTTACAAAATAAAAAATTCAAATGTGGTATTTCTGTGATGTTAAATACCAAACATTCCCAAGAGGTATATGTGTAATCATTTTAAGCCCTTTCTGATGAAGAAGAGAGACATGTTAATTATTTTAAGTGCTGTTTTCTTGGTACTGCAATATTTTAATTAGCACTGAAATGTTGGGAAGGAAATTCTTATTCAGTTTAATAGGCTGTCTTTCTGTTGTCGCAGAATATTATAACGATATGATATGATAAGGCTTTCATAGAAATGTAATAAAAATTATTAACTATTACATTTGTTCAAAATTTAGGAACTTGCCATTCACTTCAGTGTTTTACACATGTTCACATGATTTTTGCAGAATTTTTAAAGAAAAGTTCCTGTTGCTGAAATCCTAAATATCATGCACCTTCTCTGTTCTCAATCCTTACCTTCTTTCTTTTTCTGTTAGAACTTGGATTGTTAGCTCTCAGGTGGCTTTTAAACACTGCAGCGGACCATTCCCTCTGTTTTTGAAGTATGGTAGCCAAAATGTGCAAGATAGAAATGCTAGTGGGATTTGAGGAATCCCCAAGTTTGAAGAAGGGCAGTCACTCTTCAGAGGGAGCCTTCAAAACAACCCAGTGAGGACTGAACATGCTCAGGAGCCACACAATGCTGACTGACTGTTGCGGCAGGGGGAATGAAAAACGGGGGAGAATGCACTGGAGTATGTTGAAAAGTTTCAGTAATAATAATAATAATAATAATAATAATAATAATAATGGGTGATATGTCTGGCTGACTGGAATAGTGAGCAAGAGCATGTTTTACAACTGCAACATTCTATTGCAAGGCACACTCGTAACTGAAGGTTTTCATATTTTTTTATTTTATATTGATAACAGTATAAATTCAACAATAACACAGGTGCAAAGCAGGTGTTAAGCCTTCCATGTACCTCTGGCAAGCATAGAGAAACAATACGTTAATAAGATCAGTCAAAATATTAGAAAAGGGGGGGGGGGAAGAGGTGACAATAGAGACGAGAGTATGATGGAAGAAAAGCACCGATCAAGGAGCAAACAATATAAATCCCAAAGTTCCTCCAAATAAAATCATATTTAGATGGGTCACCCAATTCGTTAATGTCACAAAAGGCCACCCATCTGCAGTAAAGTCCTCCGGGACAGGAGCACCTCTTGTCACTTTAGGTCTGTGACTCAGCCTTCTCTAAAACAACAATATGCAAAGCTCCCACATAGATTATTTTCAACGCGTTAATGTCACAGCTCTCATTCCGTGAATATTTCCAACATTTGGCTGTGCTTACACAGAAAAGATTCAGAAACTCTTCGCCTACTCCGTCTTCAGCTTCTTTTAATTTAAATATGTAAAGTTGGAATAAGAAAAGAGGAAGGAAGAGGAACCTGTCTTATATTTGTCAATCTAGTTTACCTGTTGTTTACTCTGACTGGCAGCACCTCTCCAGAGTCTCAGGAAGAGGTCTTGCACCTTGTTTGATCTCCTCTGTTGCCTTTTTACATTATTCACAAAAATGAGTTTGAAAATTTAATATTTCTCAGCGATACAGAAATGTGCTACTTCGTAAAAAGTTCATGCTCCTTTCCAGTAGTTTCCGTTGGCAGATACTGTCCCTAAAGAAATAGTCTCTCTTTACTGTCACTCTTTCTTCGCTACAACACTGAACTTGGATGAGGCTGGGAGGGCGCTTTCTTTATATTGTTGCTTTAGTCCATTGAAAACCACAACACACCAAGTTGCTTTTAAGGTTTGGTTGTTGTTCAGCACGAAACAATGGAACGAGTCTCAAAATGTCATTTAAAAAAACAATGAAAGAGTTATAAACATGAATTAGGGGACTGTATATAGTAAGGGCAAAAACAGTGGTTAGAGAATGTTGCTTTCACCTGGCCTTGCTGAAATATGTACCCCATTCTGTTGTTGTTGCAGCTTTAGACTTGTAATTAGAGCTGTACCGTGATTGAAGAAATTTTAATCAAAGCAGTGCAATCTCATGCATTTCTAGCTACTCAGAAGCATATTCCATTGACTTCAGTAGGTCTTACTCCCATGTCAGTGGGTGTAGGATTGCAGCATAAATGTGCATATCATAAAACTATATTTCTGAAGAAAGGAAAATAATGTTTTCATGCGTAAATGCCATAGCAGGTGCCATGTTAAAAAAGCTGTTGTCTCCTGGGTGAAAGTAAAGGGGCAATACTTTTCTTTTTTGTATTCAGTTTTATCTTAAATACATGTTTAAATAACATGTACTTCCTGATTGCTCAGGATGCCTTTTTTGTTAATTTGATAAACTTCAATCAATTATTCTAACTGATTAGTTGATTAAATTTTGCAGTCTTGTTATGATTTTGGGGAGGTGTCTTTGCATAGTATTCCAAGTGACACCAGGTTTGATAGCCACGCTTACTCAAAGGTCTCCCCTATCCCTAATGACGGAGTTCATGCTTTGCTTGCAACAAATTACTATGTTTAATTCCAGCATCTCCATATAAGTCTGGAAAAGACTCCTGGAGAACAGCCGCCTGGGCAGTTTCGAATGCTGGACATACCTGTCCGATTTACTTTAAAGCAGCATCCAATGTTCCTATCTGATTTCTCTCTCCTGTTGTGCAAATGAGGCAGCTACTTGGTGAAGTGCCACTCAGAAAACATTAAAGAACTGCAAACCTTTACATGTGCAGCTTTCCAAATTGCACTCTGCAGCAGGAAATGGGACCATACCTTTCCTGAAAGCCTTTGCTTGATGGATCTCATTTGCAGAAATATCAGGGTTTCGACCCCATAGGGTCCTGTATATAGGGCAGTTATTTGTGTGAAATATGTGGCCAGCGGCCTTTTACTTTAAGGTGCTGAGTCTATTAAATATCTTGGTCTGACCATCACTAGCAATATCTGCATATTAGTCCAAGGATGGCAGGCATTCTAGAGTAGTGCTGCTGTCAAAATCTAGACAGATGGACAAGCTCCCATGATGAATATTTGGTGAGGGAAAATTAGTACTTTTAATACGAATGCTGTCCCACATATAGTATGAATCATAAAACTGCTACCTGTGCATGTTCCTCGAAACCGTTACTAAAGTTGGCTTTTTTATTTTATAAATGCATTTGCAAAACTATCCTGTGGTCTGGCAAATGCAGAACAGCTTATACAATCTCCAGCTGTCAATAAGAGTGTAGCAAGGTGTTGCCCTTCTTAGCCCCTATCAAAAGCCTTCCTCCTTTCCAGTGTTAAGTATTGCCTTCTGGAAGCTGCCCAGGGAATGCCCAAATGGTTCCTTTTGGAAATGGATCAGTGAGGGTATGCTT